CTCTCAGTTCCTTTAAGAAATCGAGGTGGACGCCCTAAGGTCAAGGTCCAAGGACCTAAGGTCAAGGTCCCCCAATGTCGGGGGGAAATTAAGAGTGCTGGAGCGACTCCGCAATGGTCAAAGGCGGGTCGCCCGTCCCTGCGAACCAGAGCCTCGCGGCAGTCCCGTAGGAAACTCAAGAACTTATTTTCCTTTGCTGTCTGGTCCAGTGACCTGTCTGGTCTCTCTTAAAATCCAGAGCTAACTCTTGATCAATAGACCTTAACTAAATAGGTTTTTTTTAATGATCGTTGACCGAAATTGATTAATAATGAGTTTTATAAAAATAGTATTGGATATATGAAAAGCTTTCGATTGAATTTAGTCGTCGTGGCTTCATGTACGTGATGTGTTCTACTCCCAATGTTTTGGTGTACCTCCTGGTCATGTCCTATTTCGTCGTTAAGGTAAGTGTAAAGTGTAAAATATTTGAACAACCAATTACCAACACCTTGAAGATCGCTTGTCGAGTGGAGTTCACGAACATAAAGTGCAATTCTGAGGACAAGGAATTCTCCGATTTTGAATATTGTTACCTGAAATCTGTGAACCGGAGCTACAAATATCTATCGCTGAAAGTCAATCTGTTTCAAGTTCCCGTTACCAAATTCTCGGTATGGATGTAAAGGTGAGCTGAGCGAATTTTGTTGTAATTTTTTGCATTTCAGACAAAATTTGGACTGTACAAGCGATTCAGTGGATATAAACCTTTCCTTTACAATTTCACTGTGAATGGCTGCAATTTCCTTAAACGTCCAAAATCCTTCCCCGTCGTAAGGTATTTTTATGAGATCTTCAAAGACTATTCAAATATGAATCATTCATGTCCCTACGATGTAAGTAAAGAGACGATTCTTTGATGATGTAAATATTTATGTATATTCTATAGCATGATATAATAGTGGATAAGCTTACCATCGAGCGGATCAATAACCGATTCTCAAAAACACTGACCTTTCCCGAGGGCGATTACATGTTCGAGTTCCACTTTCTGGCCTACGGCATCAACCGTGCGGTGGTTAAAGTATATTTCACCCTTTCGTGAATGCTCCTTTTTTAAGAATGAATGAAGTTTATTCAAAATGCATTATTATCAATAAATGTTCTTATTTTTTGTCCAAACAAAATTCTGACTTAAAATATCATTTAAATGTAGCTGTCGGGTCAAGCAGCTTATACGGCGTTCCGCCTTACAAAGGACGAAAATCTGTTGCATCCACAATATTGCAGATTCGAGAAAACTAAAAACGCATAATCATAGAGAATGACCATATATATCCTGTTGCTGAATCTGAATATAGCCAAAAGAAACAAATCAATTTGCAGTGGCTACGCAGCGCCCGACGTCACGCTCAGCCTGATTTTCTGTCTCTCTCGCACGCACTCTTTGTCGTGTCGTTTAATATTCGCGCGTCTGCCGGAGGAGAGCCATACTGACTTAGTATCGGGTATAACTGTAGAGTTTCGGTCTCCGCAGCAACTCACAACGTTCCCCCTCGTTTTTTTTTTTAAAGGAGTCTACCAATATAAATTTTGACCATAAACGGTCTCCCATTCAATGTCGGAATTTAGTTGGTACGGGATTTTTATTCAATATTGTTTATACTTATTTTCAAATCCCTCACAGCATCCCTCATTTTTTTTTTTGATTTAACAATTTTCATTTTAGAGGAGTTTAGAGGAAAAACTTTCGTACAAAGGTGAAAAAGTTCAACCGTATTTGTTTGAGATCTATACAAATTGACCGAAACATGTCGCAAATTAGAAATTTACTCATGTTTGTGCTCTCAATTTTTAGGTATTTTCTGTGAGTTCTCTTTCCAAAGCGGTAGCTAAAAGTTTCGTTGGGTTTTAATTATGGAGAAAAGTTTGTTGTGGCTAGAAAATGACGGTAACTTGCAAGAACTTCAGGGTCCAGTCCACTATGAATGGACAAAGGAGAATGCAGAGTGCAAGTATTGGCAGCAAAAGGGCTGGCATAAACTCAGGTGGAAACGATTTTTAATTTCAGATAAACTGGCTGTTGACTATCCAATGGAGCAGTGATAAATGCATTTCCATTCTACCGGCGTGGTCGTTGTCGCCGTCGCCGTCGAGGCGAAGGCGCCATTTTTCAAATTTATTCAAACCGACAAAACGTCACACCAATTGGGATATTCAGGGAATAGCCCGCAGTGACCAGTAGTCGATTTAAATTCAAATTTAAATGTTTTCGAGCAGAAAAGCTCGGGCAGCACCTGAAGCCACACCACCGACACCTGGCGATTAATTAAAATAACTGTTTATCAACACGAATTAATCATGCTGTAACATGCACCAAGCTCGTGTTACCTCCAAACAAAATGGCGTGCGGCCACGTTCCGGTCATGTTGGACGGGCTGTTCCCCAGCGGCGGCTAAGCGGGAAGACCAGTCTTTTTCTTTCGCCGTGTGTTCCGCCAAACGTTGAGTTTATGGTTATTGTTTTTAACATTTCATGAGCTTCGGTGCTTCTGGATATTTAATATGATTTCAGAGAAATTTCGTTTTTAAGAACACCTTTTACAATCTCATCGCGGCGACCCAAAACAGTGGCCGGCAGCGTTAATTTTATCTCAAAACTTTAATGCGCGCGTGTGTGAGCAATTAGGAAAAGGGATGCGTGTATTTTCGGCCTATAGCGAGGGAGAGTAACTTAAATTACGATTGCGAGTACATTTGGTGGAACTTTTAAGGGTCTGCACAGGCACTGATTGGACCTGGAGGGTCCTGTGCTCCACTACGTAATACACACACTCCTCAGATATTCTCTATTCTGAGCATTCCATCACGATGGAGCCATTAGCTGCATGGGGAATAGAACTCAATGGACGTTGACGCGCGTGTCTTGCCATCTGCATGCTAAATAAGCCAGCCCCAACAACCGAGAGCAACACCAGGCGACAGTTGCAGCAAGAGCAACAGCAACAGCAACAGCAACAAATGGGTTGTAATTGTCAGCTGAACGGACATGTGAAGGGGGAGTGCCAGAGATGGGAACGATGTGCATTGAGCCACAATTTGAGGCAGTGGCGCGTGTCGCAGGAGACGTAAATAAAGTTAAACGTCAGACCAAGGCATATGAAAGAACGCAAGAAAAAAATATACGAATGTGTGGGCGAATTGCAGTGGACGTGTGGCGGAACAGGAACTAAATACCAGGAAAACCATGCAAATTGGCATTAGAAAATGGGAAATAATCGCCTTTTGCCATGTGTTTCGATTGGGAATACGAGTTGGATGATGCTGGAAGAAGTCGACCCACTGCAAATTCAAACACGCTAATGCCTGACACGACTCTGTTTGGTCAGACTGTGATTTATGTCTGGGTACACCTATAAATTGGATTTCGTTTCGATTCTGGGGCCTGGGCAATGCTATAATGTTGTCACATGGCCAAAGCTGCCATTAAAAGTGCCTGCATGATACTCGGGGTTTGGCCCATCTGAGAAGTGTGTCATCAATTGACAGCTCGGCTCACTGCTCACCTGTCCGTCTCTCCCTGGGTGTGTTTTTCCTAACGGGGTTCATAATTAGCAGCGCCTGAGCTGATCCCGGTCCGTATCAGGGTATCTCTCTATCTATCTTTCGGACCGTGACAATTGACAAGGTGGCGATTTATGGCTCCTGCGCCGGCACGGTAAAGAGTTTAGCTGGCAATGGGGAGTCCTTAAACCAATTTGATTTAACCTCTTCAATCGCCATTTTGCCAATGCAGCAACAATGTAAGAAAATAAATTGAGCACCGCGATTGCCGGCAATCGTCTTTTAACTCGTCTGCGCCAAATTCAATTATTTCTTCAGGCTATTGCCGCCAACAGCCACTAGCGGTAGTAATGATATACATATAAAGTGAATGGCAAGGCTGCGAGGACTGGAGCTGAGGTAAAAGCAAACCTGAAATTGCATTTAGGCAGACTGTCGCCAACTGTGAACGCATTTTATACAGCCATTGAGCAAAGGACCAGGAAAGGACCCCCACCTGCAGAGCTGGTCAGGGAGCGCAAAAGGTGTTGCATATCCTAGTACAAGTATGTACATATACAAGCACTAGATTAATGTTAGGACTGTGCCAGAGATTGGCGAGGAAATGGAATGGAATAAATGCGGGCATTAAATGCGGTTTCTTGGACTGACGCAACCCCCAAGGTACTTTCATAGCCAATAAATATTCATAGAAATACCCGTACTTGATTCGCTTTGAACTATGAATATGAACCCACAAAAAACCGAACTGGTCGTTGCAAGAGTGCATCAAAGTGGTCCAGTCTAGAGTCTTTATTGTTCAAAGTCCCAGATATCTCTGGAAGAAAGGGCTGTATTAAGTGCTTCTCTGGCGTATTTTAATATATTAATTTGTGAAAACGAGAGCCAGCGAGGAACATTTTGGTAACCTTAAATGCACAACGGGAGCTGCAGCTTGGCCAAGTCTAGTCTCACATATGTATCTCTGGAAGCAACCTTAGGGCTGTGTTAGTTTTTTGTCTCAAATAAAATGTTCGACGGAGCCATGGACACCTTGGCAGACGAAAGTTCACAGCATGCATCGACTTATGCTGCAATAAAAGACCAGACCAGACCAGGCCAGGCCACAGCAGAACAGAGCAGACGAGGCCAGGTCCCATCCCTCAGGAGTCTGCTGGCAGCTGGATCAGCTGTGAGGGATGTACATACATAATGGAAATCCCTGATTCGTGTTTCTATTCTGACCAGAAGCAAGGACCATGCAGCGCGGTAGCTTCTTTCGTTGCCTTTTTGGGCAACAATTGAAAAACTCGCAAACTGTTTTCCAAATGGCATCCACTCAGACGGCCATGGCGTAGGCGCCTGCGCCGATTCGAGTGGAACGTATTGGGCGATGGCTTGGCCTCTTAAGCGCTATTCTTGTCTCGGCGCCTCAGTGCGATTTCGGGCCTCAAACCGGACGCTTCTGTCGGCTCCCTCAGCAGTGAACTGGGATAAATATCGACGAATCTTGTCGGCTACAATCCGAATCCAATCCAATTCAATCCCAACGGTCTTCTGAATAATTGAAGCAACGCGTGCTGAACATTATTGTAGAGTGAACTCGATGCAAATTGATTGCTCATACGACGCGTTGGCTGCACAAAGAGCAGGAAAATAGAAATTGTTGCATGCTTCTAGGCGGCGCATTGTTGATTGATATTTGCTGGCGGTGCATCTGTTACTGTGTGTGTGTGTGATTGAAATCCTTTTTGATTAAAGCCCGCGCGTGAATCGCTTTCTATTTCTATGCAATCGGAAAATCTCCTTTTATGCATAAATGCTCCAAATCTCGCTAATTGCTCAATGGGGCTCGGCTCGGCCCGAATCTGGATCTGGATCTGGCTTTTGTGATTCGCATACGGTAAGTGTGTAGAAGGGGAACAATGCGGTGGTTAAGCAAACATGCGATGATCATCGCTAAGTGGCCACATGAATGGAACACATACCGTGCGACCGTTTTCATAGTTGTCACAGTTGACTTTTAAGCGGCGACACATCTTTATTGCCAGGAAACTGGCAGCTGATTGGCCCGCTCCACCTGCCACTCCACTCCACTCTCCGTACAGTTTATTCAAGAGAAATCTCTAAGCAATTTGTGGAATCCTTTTCAGACTTCCCCGGCTTCCTTTCTGCGGCTGTCATTGTGCAAGTCTGTTTAATTTCACAATTCATTTGATGTCAATCGAATTGTGCCTGGCTGTGGCTGTGGCTGAGGCTTCCTCTGACAAGTGTCGCTATCTTCGGCACACAAAAGGCACCAGAGAAAAGAACTGGAACGCTCGCTGTCAAGACGCTGGAATTTGATGTATTAACCGTTGGGCTTGTCTGCACTAACTTCAGACTTGGCTTGAAGCCTGAAATCGACCATAAAACGATGGACGAGCCGCATTAAATTCGCCTATTTGGCTGCCGATAAACCTAATAGTAAACATCTCCTTTTGTTGACTCTATCTGTGGGATTAGGTTGTCTCCTACACGAAGCTTAACAGCTTGGGACTTGGACTAAAGGGAGGACTTGGGAGGAGAGATACTTAAAGCATTCCACACCTTCATCAGCAACCTAAAATAAAATGATTTTGGCAAGGGAATGAATTTATTGGAATGCCATAAACGTGGCTAGCTAACCCATTCAATCGATAAAGAAACGGCATTGAAAGATGATTTAAAAATTACATTTTAAAAAGTCTTCGCTTCTTGTTGTCAAAGTTTTGCGGAATTTCCTTTTCATCATGATTCACGTCTTGCGATTGATTTAGCTCAGAAAGAACGTGATATATTATTGCTCAAGCTTATCCTTTCGCTAAGGGTTCAATCCGTAGCCGACAAATACTTATGCAAATACATCCAACTCTGGCCAGCTCGGGTCCTCAGATTTTCCTCCCTGAAACGTGGAGTGTGCATAATTTTGATCATGTGTCGATTAACAATAATCATCTTCAACAAATTGCCTGGCACACTGCCGGACAAGTGAAATATGAGTGTATGTTAATTTATTACTCAGCTACCGCTTCGAGAGGGACACTTACGAATGGAATGCTTGAATGGACTGCACACCATGTCGTATACTTAATCGGTTTCCACGTATACAGCCTATACCGTCTGGCAGCGCCTGCTGCTGCTACTCCAATATGGAATATTCATATCTGGTGATAAACATACATCCAAACATAATCCATTGTGAAGTACTAGCAGTGGCAGTGCTTCAAACAAGTTGCTTACCTAACAAAAAGCAAATGGCAGGCTGCGAAGAGGAGACTGTTGGGATACGACGATGGTGAGTGGGAAAAACTTCTCGTGCCCTGATTTGCTCCTTGGGAAAGTTCGCGGCGCAACGCCTACTTTTTTTCTGGCGGCTTTTGGCCGGCTTTACTTTTGCTGACTGCTATTTTATGTTGGCCATTAAAGGAAATTGAATATAATTTTGTTTGCTAAGCTCTTCCATAAACTCCCAAAGGCCAAGTGGCTTGAGCTTCTGTTCTGGTGTTGCTGCATGAATTTCCACGCGGCCCCGGCCCCGGCCCCGCCCCGCCCTCTCCATTTTCGGTGAGGTTTTTCATATTTTATCAAGTTCAGGGGCGAAAAAAAGGTCGATGGTTAAAGGTTCTAATAGGGATTGACGTTGCTGGGCTGCAGTCGGATTTGGCCCGCTGGCCAGTGCACAAAGATGATTGAGAAATTGTACACGCAGTGGCAGACATTGGAGCTTAACCTTAGCTTCAGCAACCCCTTGTTGGCTGAGATGACGAAAGAGTGTCCGAAAAGACAGAGGGCGAACATTCACACCCCTTCGTTCGCTTTTCGTGGTCGATCTTTGGGCCATCTCTGGACCATCTCTGGGCAGAGTGACAGCCAGTCTACGAGTATATAAAATTGTTTGTGCTGGCTCGACTCCAGTCAATATTGCGGCCATTTGGCCAGAGAAAGCCAGAGCCTGGCCAAGTAAGTCCTAACTTGTGCCATCTTGGACCACTTGCTCACCGATTTCATTATTTATTCAAGTTCGTAAAAGCAAACTTGCATATTGCCACTTCCCTCTCCACCTTCCTGGAAGGGGAATCACCAAATAATAAATTGTTTCTGCGGTTGTTTCCCCCATCTCCATCTCCAGGCCTATTCCTTTGTTTGTTTGCTCTCAGTCCTTGAGATAGGCAAACCCCACCCATAGCCACACGCCCGTCTCCTTCTGCTGTTTGTTTATCCTTGGGCCTTCCGCATTTGCCTCTGCCATTCGAAGAGTTATCCTTGCAGATTTGCAATCGGATGGAAAAACATTGTTTTCATTTAATTTAAATGTTGATGTATCGTTCTCAAACAGAAGCTGTGGCTGGCTCGTTTGTAAGGGTATTTGTCGGGGCATCTTATAATTTGTTGAACTTTTATTGGATAGCTTATACATTCTGAATACTTTTGAGAAATTTCGATAGGCCTTCAAGCGAACAATATGCGAACATCTCTGGTAAGTCTCGTCTGAAAAACAATGATAGAGTGCCTGTTAATTTAGCAATCGTTAAGAAAACCTTCTCATTTTCTGACATTGATACCTGGAATATATATATTTTGGCTTTGGCTCTTGAGTAGTATTCCCCGATGACTTCCCTGTGCTGTCAAGCTCTGGCATGCCTGAGAGATAAAAATAGAGGTAGAAAGAAGGAGCGGCTTAAGTAAATGATTCTTTTGATTTCCGTTGCCAGGTGTCTGCGTCTATATTTCATCCGATGTGGCAACCGCCATCAATCAATTTCTCAGATAATTCACCCGCACCCGAACATCGCATCGCTTCGCTGTAATTCGATGGCAGAAAGCCATCTAAATGTGGCTGTCAACGGGGTCAGTGGCATGCCCTCGCTTAAACAAATAAATTGCGGTATATTTTTTCGAGGGAAAACAAAAAAACTGCTCACATAATTAGGACAGACCCCAGTTTGTATTGACATTTCCGAGCGGATGAACAAAAAAGAAGCTGAAGTACGAGGAAAAAAAAACGATGTTCTGTCTACCCGCACCCGATGATGGATTGTGTGTTGATAGACGAAAATTTAACTGCTGACAGAGGGACACTTACCTGAACCCGAGGGCCGTCCTCACAATACAATGATGTGGTTGGAAGAGGTCTAGGGAGCTATGGGTTCACAGAGCATTACTTATACGACATGGGGACATGGAGAGAACATTGCGGTTAGATCTTATAGGCACTTCCGGCTTGATGCACGCATGAATGTTAATGTTGATTGTTCCCAACTTTTTGACTCGTGACGGCAGTCAGGGCCCCACCAGCCAGGCGGTGTAATGTCCTAGAAATTATGCCAAAGACCCCCCCGAAGGGGTCATGAAATATTTTGCTTGTTGCCTGTCTATAACCAGGCCAAAGAACCGGGGCACACAGATCCGTCTCTCTGGCTGTCTGGCTCTGGGCTGTGCAGCAGAATTTTCATAGCAGTTTACGAGCAGAATTTACGAAAGATAAATTTGCCCCGAACTCCACTTGACTTGGAAGTTGGGCCATTTAGATGGAAGGAGATTTGAGACGGCATGTGGCAAACTTGGAAGTAGTTCCCATCTCAAAAGGGTTACTGGGCCAATCCAGAGCTGTGCCAGAGCCGCTGGCCATTTGCTTAAAATCAAATTAAGTAAACGAAAACCAGTATCTGAATGCCAGCCTAGGGCCAACACGCTTATGTCGGTAATTTTAAATCAGTAATTTGACTTGCGACTTCCAATTATCGCCCTGCCTCGAGTTAAAGTTTCCCTGGGCTGTTGCTGACTTATTGCGCTTCCAAGACACCCAACTACACGTGTTCATGAACTTCAGCTAGTATGTGTGGCTAGTAACTGTGGGTTCGTTCGGTTTCCGTGCTCCTGACATCTGCGGCTTTCACAATTTTTCCGTGCCTTCGTCGTCGTTGTTGCGTTGACGACATCCGGAGACATTTCTTTTCACTGCGTCTGCTCTGCCTTTCACAGGCATTTCACTCGTCTCCGCCGCACCAGATGGCACGTCAAAGCGGCACTGGCACTCACACTGGCACTGTGGGCGCATTGCATTTTAAAAGCAAATACATATACACATTCATACGTACATATGTTTGCTTTTAATTATAGAGAGCCATAAATGTAATTAAATTCTCTTCTCATTCTTCTTTCTGGTGCGTAACCAATGGCATCTGATTTTGTTCTTGAAATGGTGCCTTTAAGGTGGTTAAGGCCCTATCCACAGGCCCTTTCTCCCAAAGGAATGTTAAAACAAATGACCAATTTGTACAGTCGTCTAATGGAAATCGGCAGGCTTCCCATCCCATCTGTAGGTATTGTATTCCTGGGATATGAGCTGAGTGTGGCGTGCCAGTTGGTGGTATATTTTGACCCATAGTGCAGAATGGGATGACAGTCAACCATTGTGATGTCAGTTTTTGCAACGCTTGGCTGCCCCTGTCTCTGTCCCTGTCCCTGTTCCGCCTGCTACCCCCACACCCTTCGGTTGTCCTAATGTCTATTTGGTTTCTTGGCACGACATGCCTTACGTCTTCTGATGAAAAACTTATCATAAAACTTTGGTAAAACTGCAAAGTTGTCAAGGTTTTTGTCATTTGCCTGTCTCTCCCTTCTGTGTCTCTCTTCGAGCAGGGGTTGGCCGAAATAAATAATTATAAATAACTTAAAAGCAGGAAAATGGCAAACAACAAGCCGAAAAATCCAGCAAAAACAAATAAATAAATTCAAACCAATTCCTAGCAGAAAGTTGCTGCCCGTCAAAGTATGCAATGAAGAACACGCGATAACCGACTGCCTCCTTATGGCCTCCGATATCCGATATGATGTTTAATTTTGTATGCTTTAATTGGCACTATAAACAGCTAATAAAATCGGCAGTTCACGGAGAAAGACATTCCACTTCAAATGGCCAATCGATGTCTGAAGAGCCATGGCCCACTCCAAGCAGCAATAAAAACAGTTCGAATATACATATATATAGTACAGACATGTGCATATGTACCCGAGAATATCTATCCATATACATATATACGTATGGAGGTATAGTACTTGCTCATTGTATGTCGTATTATTTGCTTGCTTTCGCTGGTGCTGCCATTGACAGACTGCCATAAATATGAAACACACACAAAACGGCAGGCCAAAAACTATGTACCTACAAACACACTCGAATACGAGGGGTGCCGAAGGAATACATGAGTTGACATCACATCCAGGCTTCGAATCGTCGACTCGACCATCGACATAACAAACTGTTCAGCTACACGATACAGTCTGTCCCTCGTCAAGGCAACGTTTGATGGAATGTCTGTCTCTGAAACGTCTCTCCGGCTCATAACTTTTCCGCTTCGATTCATAGCGAGTGATGGCTTCAACTTGTTGTCCCCTGAAATACTGATATAATTAATTAGCCATCATTAAGAACAAAAATTGAGCTGAAGTTTGAGCTTCGCTTTTACATCAATTAAAAAACCATAATACTTATAGCTATAATATTTACAGCTCTACAAAAAGCAAATAAAACGTTTAAATTTTAAAATTTACATTTAGATTTAAGAATACATGTATACCCCCTGCCAATAATGTATATTTGATCATCATACAAATTTCATATCTAAACTACATATTTAAATTTCGATTAAATTTATTTCCTAAAAATTCAATATATTATATTTATGTTAAAGTGTTTTTAATAGCTACATTTATTTTTGAATCAAAGTGAATTCTGTTTCATTTCCCCATGCTTTTATTTAAAAAAAAGAAATATTATTTATTTTAATATTGTTGTTTCTTTTTACTATGCCACTTTTCTCTGAGTGTAGCAGTGGCCACGTGTATGCTTCCCACCTTTTTATTTTTATTTTTTTATTCCCCAATTTATATGTAAATGTTTGACAATTGCAGGGCGATTAGAGTTAGCTAAGACTCGCTTAAGTTGGCTTCCAGAACAATTCAAGGTGGCATTTAGGCCCCCATTTCCGTGCTAGATACAAGTTCGGGGAATTCGGGGCACTCGGTGCACATTTGTGGGCTGTAAACTTTGGCTGTAAATTTTTACAGCCTTCAGTCTGAGGCGAGAAGGATCTGCGGCTGCCACTTGCCACCTGCCCCAGGATGCATCCCGTGGCAGACATTCGACGAGTGGCTCAAAAAAAAATCCACCTAAATGCCATTCATGCTAAATTGCGGGCAATCTGTTCGGACAGCAGAAGAATGCGGTCTAATTTATTTAAATAATTTAAAATTTAGGCGACCCCGCGCCCCAAGAATAAACAAAGCGAAATAATAGCAGCTGTGTCTAGTCAAGTCATTGCCTTAAGATAAGAATAGGGCCCTCCAGACAAAGGGACCGGGGCCAACAAAAGGCCAAAAGTTAATGTGTGCCTAAGTAGCAGCCACATGGACGACCCCTGGCACGGCTCCCACCCGTTGAGGGGAAGCCGCAGGCGTCCAAATGGCCCACATCCGCCAAGTGCCGACTACCCACTACCGACTGCCGACTGCCGGATCCTATCTCCTGTCGTCTCCTGCCTGGGTCCGGCCCTGTGCCGACCCTGCCCCATTCCGTCTCTTCCCGGATCGGTTGCTTTGTCTGCGGCCACTGTGTTGATTACTTTGGGGAAATGTGCGTTAAAGGTAAACGGTGTGTACCTGTGCTGTCATTTTCTGTTTGCCTCGACGTCTGATTTATATTCCCGTCCTTTCGGGCTTGCTCGTGCTCTGGCTCTGGCTCTGTCGTGATTCCTCCTCTTCAGTAAACTGTTTTCTATGATTTTCCGTTGCTATTACGTGGCCATAAATCATCGCATCCATTCAATATTAAACGTAAATTATAATAAACCAGCATGGACGGGGTTTTACCGAAAGTGGGGACTCCCAGACGATTCTTAAATATATATTTAAATATACTGAGTCCAACGTTTAAAGCTTGTTCTTTTCGTAATCCCGATGAGAGCTCTCAACAAGTTATTTTACCGCAATAAATACCTTCATACTCAATGATTAATTCCATTAAAAATGCATCTTTGACACAACAATCACGTTCAAGAGGCCACTTTCCCGGACCCTAATGGCTAATGGATACTGAACAAGCCTTTATTGATTAATTATTTATTATTTATTTATTATTTATCAAGGGTCAATGGTGCCAATACCCCGCAAAGGGAGCAGGAAAAGAGACTGTCTCTTTCCTACAAAGGTTTTCAATCAATTTAAATATTTTATAAAATGGGAAACGTACGATTTTGATAAGGAATCAAAAGAAATGTTTTTGGTTTCCCTTTGCAGTCATATATTTTGCACATTATTTAAATATTTATCAGTCTATAATAAATAAATATCTGGCACCAGAGCCACCAGGGTTACGCAATCAATGATATTTGTGAAACTGTGGAAATTATGGCTTTTAATTTCATTCCCGATTCGCTCAGTGCCAAATCACGGACTCTTTCGGACAAATGAATTGAAATTAAATTCAATAATGGTCGTGGCGGGACTCGTTCCGTTTCGGATCGATGGCTGTGTATATCAATTAACCATACGTGCTGTTGACGCGGCCATAATGTTCCATTATGTTTGACTTGCGCTGGAAAACAATGAAATTAAGCTGATACCGAAAGCGGACACGGGCTGAGGAACGGGGAGGCAGACAGCCAGGCAGGCAGGCACTCAAGCGACCACTTCAGCGGACAGCTCAAAGAGCTCACTGATGCTTCGCCTGTCTGCTGTGTGTGGATGTCCAAGTTTCGCCATTAAAAACGCATTAACATGGCACAATGGCTTGACAAATAACTCGAAATGCATTGCCTTTTCGCACGGGCGTTGCGCATACGCGCTGCTGTGCTCACGACAGAGAGAGCGAGTGTCTGTTCTGTTTGAAATGCCTTTTATCAGTGCAATTACGCACCCATGCTGCTTACAGAACAGAACAGAACAGAACAGAACAGAAGAGAACAGACCAAAACAGGCCACATCCATCCCATTAAGGGCTGCCATCTTCATTAAGCTGACATCTGTGCAGGTGACGGCTCCTGTGGCGTTGGAAGACGACGACGAAGACGCCAAGGACCCAAAAATAGAACTGCTTTCAGGTGTGTCGGCTTGCAGGCCAATGACGAACGATTCGCCCCAAATATCTACTTGATTTATTGGTTATATCCTTCGTCTGGGGTCTGTATTCGGGGAGAGCACTCTGTATCGTTTGTTAACTTGAAAGACCGGCTGCCATATCTGCTTATCTGCACAGCAGGCGCTCGGTCCTTCTCCTGCCAAAAGCCGTTGTTTCCTTGATACAAATTACTTTAATACTTTGCGCCCGCTGTTACGCGGAAGTGTTGTACAGCACGCACCCACAGGAGACACATTCACATTTCCCGGAATGTGGAACTTTTTCTTTCAATCATAAAATCACAACTTTTTACCCTTTATGGCATAATCAGTGCACACGAGCCAGAGCCAGAGACAGAGCCAGAGCCCGACCGGGAGTGTGTGGAGTACGGCTGGAGTACGAGGCAACAGCAACAGCAACAGCAACAGCCCCTCCGGCTGCAATTTTCTTGTCTTTTATCTTTTATAGTTCTGGCAGTTGCCAGCTGCAGGATAGAGATGCGAAGGCTGCTTTAGCAGTGGTACAATGGCATATTCATGGTTGCGACCAAAGTGAATAACCGATATTTGATGGATATTCACTTTGGGGATTCATTGGAGTATTAGCCTTTGATAGGTCTATGATTTTGGTAACCTTTTGACCCATATAAAATAGATTTCTCATTCCTGTCACGTTGCCATCTCTGTTGGTGTTATGATAGCCTGAGGCCAACTACCAACTGCGATTTCATTTGGCACTTAAGCTGGGACTGGGACTGATTTTTATTATAAAAGGGTTGCGTTGTAGCTGCAGCTCTACTCCTGCCCCAAGCACACATATACGCACACATCATAGCCTCGTAAAGCGACAGAGTCGGCGGCAGTCGGCATTAAATGGTATATAGTTTTATTGCTAATTCAAAGCTAACCGAAGATATTGTCATAGATTTTGTGCCAGATACTGCTGCGCTGGAACATGGCGCTGGCCTGGCCCTCCTGTACGTACAGCTGATACCGCTTGAGGGTGCCCGGGTCGGCGGGTCCCCAGTTGGGCAGTGGCTCAAAGGCTTTGCGGATGCGGGCCCAGAGGCTGAGATTAGACGGTTGCCGCCGAACAGCGGGTATGGCCCAAAACAGCACTTGGCCCACGCCGAAGGCGCTCAGGCACCAGCCAAAGACTGTAAATGGATTCGATTAGCTGGGAAGGGCATGTGAAGAAAGTAATCTTAGGTACCGTAAACACCGGATTGATAGGTGTAATCCTTGTACTTTAGGGGCTCGTATTGAACCAGCGTGTAGATGAGAATGGTAAACATTAAGAGCGGCGTGATGACTCCCCAGCAAAGGCGGTAGTACAAGGAGGTCTTGATGCCCAGCATGAACTGCACATCGCGGCAGAGCCGCTTCACTCCGTAGATCCAGCCGATGGCGACCAGCTCGAAGATGGCCAGCACCAGAGCCACGAACGTGGCTCCATAGAAGTCCAACAGGTTGAGGACGAACTGTCCGCCCGGTGTGATGTAGAGCAGACCCAGCAGATAGCCAATTACGGCAATGGCCACCACAATCATCCAGTTCTTGATGTGGCCAAACTGATCCTTGATCACCGTAGTGAGACAGGAGGCCATCCCCACATTGCTGCCGATGCCGAGCACAAAGAGCATGAGGAAGAACAGCACCGAGAAGAGCTGAGGCAGCACCTTGAACTTGGCTATCGCATCGGGGTACGAGATGAAGGCCAGCCCCGGCCCCCCATTCACCACGCTCGCAATGTCTGTCGTGTTGTTCTCGTAGGCCAGGTTGCCAAGGATCCCAAAGATAATGACACCCGACAGCAGCGACGTGAAGGTGTCCAAGGTGGTGACAATGTTGGCGTCCCTGCAGGTGAAATGATAAGCCCTGCGTTCCAGGATGTTGTTGCTGTGTCCGCACTCACCTGTAAATGTTTTGGCCGAAGCGATTATACGAGGAATACATAATAATGTTGCCAAAGCAAATGGCCAGAGAGAAGAAGACCTGCGTGACGGCTGCGTACCACACCTGGGCCTCGAGGAGCTTGTGCCACTGCGGCCGCAGGAAGTACAGCACTCCGTCGAAGGCGCCTGGCAGGGTGAGGGCGCGCACCAGCAATATGAGCATCACCACGTAGGGGAAGAGTGCGAGGAAATAGGAGGCCTTGCCGGAGCTCTTCACACCCTTGAACATGATGCCGGCTATAATCACCCAGGCAATGGCCAGAGCCAAAGCCAGGCTCCAGCTGGGGTAGCCAATGCCGTCATCGATGCTCGCCTTTTCGCGCAGAATGATATTCCTGCCGGAAAAATGATGAATAGGAGGGTCACTCTCGTGCACAGAGAGGCAGAGGTAACTCACGTAAAATAAAACTCCGCCGAGGTGGTCCGAACAGCGTCCTGAGCCGCGTGGGTGAGGCTCGCTTCCTGCGGGCCCGAGTCCAGACAATTCGCACCCCATTCTGGCCGGCAATAGCTCCACGGCAGCGTGGGGTAAAACGAGTCCACAAAGTAGCGCAGCGTGAGAGCCATTAGTGTGGCATAGTAGGTGGTCACAATCCCCGTGGCCAGCACCTGTCCGTAGCCTATGCCTGAAACGATAGATAGGCTTAGAGATTATTTTGCTACCAGAAATGGTGGATGGTGGGTTAATTGAATTCACATTACCCTAAATCTGATCAATTGCTCATCGATAGCGATAATTCCACTCTGTTCTTCGTTGAATTGAAGTCTCACTAGACTCACACTCACCTCTCATAATCGGTGAAAAGTCGTACACCTTAACGCTGCCGCGACTGGAGAACTGTCCCAGCAGCATCTCCATATAGTAAACCGGCTTGCCCACCAATATGAGCACAATCAGATATGGAACGACAAAGGCGCCACCGCCGTTCTCCAGGGCAGTGAAAGGGAAGCGCCACACGTTGCCCAGGCCTACGCTCAGGGCGATGCAGGACATGAGGAACTCAATATCATTGTTCCAGCTGGCGCGCTGTTTCCCCTGCTGGCCCGCACCCGCTTCCGCCTCGGGCTGGTTGTCTGCAGCTCCTGCTCCTGCTCCTGCTCCTGCCGCTGGCGCAACTGGATCTGGCTTGCTGCCATTTGTGAGATCTTTCGTTTTGTACGCCCCAGGTATGGATATGGTCGAGGCATTCAGTGAGCCAACGAATGACTGGTTGACGAAGCCATTATTATTGTTGTTGTTGTTGTTTCTGCTCTCCATGGCAGCTGCAAATCAATCAAAAATGCGGTTGCACTAACCTTCAACAAGCCGCAGGTGACTGACAAGGCTTCAGATTAAGGTTAGCACGATTGGTGGTCAAGTTTTGCGGCTTACTTCCCAATTATGCCGTTGATGGAAAAAAGTGCGGTGCCAAGTGGGCTGGCCCGTGCGATTACCGGTTCAGTGGGACATAGTCAAGCCAGCCGCAGCTCCACTGGCTCGGGAAGTCACTGACCCACTGACTTAGACACTTACGTAATGCACGTAAAGAAACAATACAATGGAGAGGTGCCGCCGCGCCACTGAGTCAGCGAAAACTGCATCGAACTGGTAAATGCAACGTGGACACCCCGCAACTGGGGTCGTCGTGGCCAGAAACCAGTTTCTTGGCCCATTCAGGGAAAGGTCTCGTCTCCATTGTCTGCCTGACGTTTTGCTTAAGGCCCTCTGGTATGTCGACTCTGTCCATGCCAACCCATTGATTTGTATGCCTGTGCCTAGGTGCATATTCGTTCATCTGTTGACAAGATCGTATCGCAAAGATACTTAAGGCAATATCCTTCCCGATATATGAACGTTTGCGAGGCTTTGAATACTTCAAATGGTAGTGCTAGAGAAAGCAGGAAAACTGAGAGCTCGCTGAAGACCTCGGACTTCCCGATAAGGCCATTCGATTCGAGTGCTATTCGATTTGATTAATCATTGCTAATAATACCTGGTATATGAAGCTGATTAGTTATTACAGCTCCATTGAAAACCAGTCGTCGCGGCAGTACAAGATACTTGGTCTTGCTGGCATTGTAAAACAGGAAAAATGAATAGGAAATTGTTTATGGTCTCGTTTTTATAGACCGTTTCTGTAGTTCACTGATATCGAAGTAATGTGTGTCGTGTCACTTATCAAAATGTATGCCAGAAGCTGAAAGATTTCCCCATCCCACCAGATGCCCGTACAGGAATTCCCAGAGATAATTCCGTGTGTATAAGAAATGCCTCGTGTCATTGTAAGATAAGATCCAACAGATATGCGTTCATTGAAGTCTTTTGTACGACAGGTGTCAAACAAGGTAACAATCTAGGGCATCTGCCCATCATTACTTATTTATTTATGCTAAATATTTTGGGAGAGGGTATGCAGCCGTCGTCACTGGCACATGAGAGCTCCTCAAGGCTCTGTCGCATGTTGCGCATGCGCAGCTGCCTCAATGTTGCCTGATTGTTCTCGTAACTATTGGAAAGTGAAGGTGTATCTGCTGTTGTTGCAACAAAGCGTTGCCTGAAAATGTCAGAGCAACGTGCAGCCTGTAATTTTACACGCTTCGCCAACTTGGGCCTGGACAAAAAGACCCGATAGCGCACATTCTCCACCTCTTTGTGTGGCATTGGAGGTGCTATAAAGCCTGGCTGCCAGCGCCAGGCGTGCTAAATGAGTTTTGATTATTTTATATTGGCAAGAGTCAATTATTTAATTGCACCCGGAGCCCGCTTGCAGTTTCCTTTGTTCTAGTGCAGTCTTTTTATTGCTCAAAAACATGTCACAGATGATAAAATATTTCAGGCTAGTTATTCGACAGAAGATGAAAGTTTCCTTTCCTTGCTTTCGGTGTTATCTTGCAGACAAAGAACCGTCTAATTATACTTCCAAACCTTTTACGGCATGCATAAAGATATCAAGAGTATAAGTTCCATCAGTCTCGCTGCTCGTTGCGAACAGTACAGGTGCCGATTTCACCTGTTATTTTGACAATTAATTAGATAAGCTGGTGCTTTAATATATTCTCTCATCTATCTCCATAGATGCAAAACTATGAATACTATGGACGATTAGCCAGCTGTGGCTGTACAAAATATCCATTAAATATGATTGTAGCCCGATCATAAATTATGTTTAGGCTTTGCGCACGCGATCTGTTTTACGTTTTGTTTATCTGTGGGATTACAGTGTCGTCAGCACATGGGAACTTTGTTAAGCTTAATTCTAGTTGTTGTTATTACATTGTTATTTTTTTTCACTTTCTGCCGATCACTCTATCTCGTTGCTCAGGACTGTGACCGCAGCGTTTTATGGGCAGTTCTCATTTTCAGATACACTTGTGTGCTATTGCAATAAATGTATTCGTGTATTCTATTTAATTTCTTGTTTTTTCTTTATAGCACGCTTGGAGCGTAAACAATTGATTTAGTTCCGCAAAACGATAAAGTACTCCAGCGAACCGCTCACCGCGAATGTCAAAAGCTCACTGAGGTAGGCTCTCAGGCCCAGCGGCGTCTGTACTCCGACTCGCACTCGTAGACGGGACCAAAAACAAAGAAAGCAGCAAAACAAAACTGCCAAAAAAAACAAAAACACAGAAACGTGTAAAAGGTGTTTTTTGGGTATTTGGGGGGAACCGGCGCTTGGACTTGACATAAGACAAGGTAGGTGAAAAATTACAATATGTATAATCGTTATGGTAGTGCCTGCGCGTCGCACTTATGTAGGTGGCCCTGCCTGTAGACGTAGACGTGCCTGCGGACAAAGAAGGCAATGACATAACAGATTGTTTATAGATGTTTCAAGCTCTTGTTTGGCTTGTTTGAGAAGTTTTATTAATTGCTTTGGCTGGGCTTTCCCTTGTTTTAAGTTTCGTAAGTTATGCGCCTTGCTGTTCGATGCCAAAAAACACTTTACGCTGTTGACATGCCGTTCCTTGCCCTCTGTCTCAATCGCTTCTCTGCGGCTGCTCATGCGCACGTGCTTTGCAATTTCTCTCATCTGCTTTGCCCTCATTCTGTCTTGCACTCGCGCCGAGCTTAGGCCTAGGCATGCTCTCACAATTACTCTCACTTTCTGCCTTGCATTTTCGCCGCAACTTAGACTTGCTCTCGGCAATTTCGCTGCTCCCATCAATTCGTTCTCATTCCGGATTGCACTTCGATGAAATTCGCCTGGTCGTACTGCTCTTGCACTATCACAAAAGCCCAAATTGGCTCTCTCAGTCTCTCTTTTTTTTCGCCTCGAACCGGTGCATGCTTTAATTCGCCGCCTATTGACTTTAATTTCGCTTTGCTTGTTTTGCCTTTGACGATGCTTAACTCTGCTCTCTTTTTGTGTAATCTGCACCAATTGCTTATCATTCAGGTGCTGCTAGCGCCTTAGAGGGGCTGATCAAACATCAGATTCTCAGAAAAACTAAAAACATGGTATAGGTACTGTTTATCAGCCCAATTCTACGAAAAGAAGCGAATGAATTCGAAATTGGTAACAATAAAAAATTGTACAATTGTTTTTCTGCCCTTTCGGAGACAGAATATTTATTATTATTCATTTATTATTGTGATACGGCGAATGGTGGACTTAGTTAGATGCAATTTGCGTCTAAAAGTGTAGCAAAGCTGGCAGCCCCATCCAAAATGTTGGCTGTGAAAGTAAAAGCGTTGTGGCTGTGAGTCCACATACTACATTCATGTAGATATGTGTGGCAGAGCAAACATTTTAATTGGATGCAAATTTTCGACACTTGGCTGCAGCCGTTTGCGGTTCGTTTGCCAACTGCGGCTCAGAGGAGACAGCGAGCGTGCGAGAAAGTAGCGGGGGGGCCGTAATGTACTCAGAGTGGCAGCAAATTTTGGTTTTACTGGGGCTAACGTTAACCCACACAGAATTGACCGCAACAAAGCCCCGAAATACCGCCGGTGAGCAGCAGGGGTCGGGTGCTGCAAACAATTCAATTAAAAATGCCAGTCCCAAAGGTGCTTCACAATTTAATAGCAAATGTGCGCTCAAATCGGATTCGTGCATAAATGAATTTTTGCTTTTCACTTATCTGCAGTGATAGCAGAGGAGACTCCCTCCATGCCTGTCATCCTGTGAAAACACATATGTATTTGTCACATTTAAAATGTAATTAATTTTTAATGGCACCCACAGGGAGAAATGATATTGCTGTGTTTCATCCTTCTGTTTATGGATGATTTTCCTCTCGCCTATCTGCTTTCGACTGTGTTTCTGTGGCTTATTTATTCGCCCACCGGTAATTGTTCGGCTGAAAGGCTTAGCGGCAATGTTTCAATATAAAATGTGTTGTAAACTCAATCAATAAAATACTGTGTGGGTGCATACTCGATTGATTGCCTTTAAAATGAATGAATTGGTTTGATTTTTGATATGCGATCGCGTCAAATTTTGCAGGAGGAAGTTTGTCAAATTAGCTGGTTCCAAAGGTTCAAGGTTCTCAAGGTGGTTACGCACTCGAGTTCATTTTTTATTGTCTGGCCCGGGCTTAATTCCATGCCAAATAACAGCAATTACACCAAAGATCCCCAATTTTGTAATTTTCTGTACTAATTTACTATTTTAATGAGCCACACTGGAAACAGAGAGAAGAGAGAGCAACGAACTGTAAATTTATGGCCCAAGAGCAGTTCGGATTCGAGTTGACAAAAAGTAAAAGCCACTTACAAATTTTCCCAGTCATTTATCAAGCGCTAGCGGGGCATAAATCTTGTCTAAGCAAATCGCAATGACAACACACAAATGTTCTGGGCCCAGAGGTAAGCGGAACTAGGAAGCGAAGAGGAAGGGTCTTGGCTAAGAGTCAAATCCAGGCCGTAACCAAAATGCTTCGCGGCACGCAATTGTCTCTGGCTGAAAGGCAGGAAGGCGGTCTTTGCCAGGCATTAAATTTTATGGCATTTGGCTGTTGGCTGTTGGACATTAAAAACAAGAGACAACAAATGTCGCACAAGCTGAGAGGACAAAGGACAATGAGCCGGGTTAATGTTGCTATTGCTGTTGTGGGTCAGTGTTTGCGGCATATGGCACGTGGCAGGCTGGCAGGTTGGCAGATTGGCAGCTTGGCAACACGGCATCCTGGCATTCTGGCACGTTGTCAGCCCTCGGCATTTGATTTATGCAGTTCAGAAAGATGCAAAATTCATCAATTAAATCCCAACTCAATCTGAGGAGGTGAAGCCTTCTTTCAAATGCCTCTTCCGGGTGCCATTCCGAGCGTGAAGTGTGTTGGATTTGATTGGATTTGATGATTATCCGTGGCCAGCCACTGGCCTGCCCCGGCACCTGGATCGTGTTTACTTGATTAAAACTCCTGCAACTAACCGAGCGAGCATCCATTCAGCCTTAATTAAATCTACTCGCAGTCCTGTGCAACCTTAGCCACTTTCCCAATTGGATTAGTTTACAGATGGGCTAGATAGGGCAGCTTGTGTTGCAATTGGCCATCGCTTCTCTTCTCCATTTTCCTTGGAATGCCTAGGAAAATCAATTTATTTTCAACTCTATGGATCTGCGAGGCCCACAATTTAGATGGAATGGAAAATACTCATTTTAATTGCATCTTCTTTGGCTGCATTCCAAATTGTGTGAAAATGCACACTGCACTCGACATGCCACAAGTGTTCGGGGCATTTTTTGTTGCATACTTTCGGGTGGCGACTAATTTGAATAAAACAATATTAATCATACGCCATGTGTGTGCGACTTGCAATTTAATTGAGCTGTGTGCTGCGGCCACTGCTCTTTCTTCTCCCCCTCCTCCGCATTCCTGGCATATCACGCTACGTAGCATTGTCCACATATCAGCGTTGCAGTATATTAAGTCATTCTGTCGTGCTGTATCGCTTGGAGAGAAGGCGGGTCGCAGCATGGACTCACGGAGCTTGTTAAAGTCACATTTCTGGCAAATTCTATTATATTGTAAAGCATTTTTTCCCATACTTGACGCCAAGTGCCAGACGGCAGCTGCCGTCTGACTCTGGCTGTTACAGTGCATGGCCATAAAAATGACTACAGCACACGCAACTCGACTTCGGGAGGGAGTACGGGTCCGGAATCAAGTCCGGGCCCCCATTCCGAGTCCATTTCGGAGCGCATTTCGTGCGTATGGAAAAAGAAAGTCAAGAAAATCTGCAATTCATGCAATTTTCATGGAAAATTTGCTTCGCCAGAAGAGAGAGAGAGAGGAGCAAACACAACACAACTGACACATGGGTTCACTTCTCTCCGTGCATATGCATATGCATGTGTGAGTGTTGTATCTGTGCTTTGAATGTCAAAATATTTGTGTGTTTGGCATTTTAAGCGTTAAATTTTGGCTGTCAACGTACCGTCATTTGGCTCACTCCTCTGCGAGAGTACGAGTACATTGTCTGTTGCTCCTGCTCTCGACTACCGGCTTCCAGTTTCCTGCTTCCGGCTACAGGGATATTTTGGTGTTTTCCCTTTTTTCTGCTCTTCTGGAAAATCCACTGCCGGAATCCAAATTAATTTCCCTAGCACGTGGGCCCCAGTGATTATGCCTGTGTGTGTGTTGTGTGCTTGTTTGCATTTGTCTTAAGTGGTGGAGTCCTTGACTTGATGCTTTAGAGATTACGGCTTACGTGCCGTGCCGTGCCATGCTGGCTGACTGCTCCGTGTTATTTGAAATACGGAGGGATGAGTTGCTGGAACCCATTGCGACACTGTATATGGCATTTAAGGAATATTCTTAACAAATTATAGCAATTACTCTTCGACTGCTAGAGAACTGAAGAGATGAGAAGTGCCGTGAAATATTCCCTCAGAATGTGAGAAACAGCGGCTTTTATTTTATTCTAATTGCAACTAATACTTTCCATCAATCGGGGTTTGGATACTAGTTTTTATTTAAGAAACAATTTCAATGCAATTTTCTACATAACATTTTGATTTGTTAAGTGGCTGGCCCGCCGCCAGGCTGTTTTTCTGCTCCTCCCTCTCTCGATTCCCTCCTGGAATCTGGATGAATCAATTGGGGGATGGCTTTTGCTGATTCTGATTCTGATTGGCTTGACTCGAGGTGCAAGGAAGCTCGTCGTCAGTTGCCTTGCCCAGAGTCCTAGGGATCGGCTGCTTCCAAATTCCGTCGACTTTTTCCGATTCATCCTCAGGCACTTCAATTTTCACGGTCTTCCCCGTCGGGGTTATCACTATTATGTGCATATTTGGCGGTCTCTGGGGTGCCTTTGCCTGTGCCCGTGCCAAACTTAATGTGGGCCAAAATAAAATGTTTCAAATATTTAATTTTGTCTAAATGCTAAATGAATTCTAAAATGAAAACCATATTTGGAAAGCCCTCAAAAAGTTGGAGCCTACTTGGCTTTGTGTTTGTGTGTGTCCGAAATGCACTTTACTTTCACCTTTAAGCTGTTTTTCTTTCTCTCTCTCTCGCTCTTTTACTGTCTGCCTCTTCCATTCATTAGCTTGAATGCTCGCCAGAAGCAAGCCGCGGAAACAAGGAAGATAAATGAAGACGAAAGCAGCCACCAGGCAGACAGACGACTTCCCCTCCTTTCCCCCGTTTTTATCCTTCCGCTTGGCGGCAGATTTGTGGCTCTGGCCGAGTCAAAAAATATGCCGCAAGCCACACCCCCACGCCGCCCACACGTGATGTTTGTCTGGG